TTTTTTTTTTGAGACGGAGTCTCACTATGTCACCCTCAGTAGAGTGCCCTGACATCACAGCTCACAGCAACCTCAAACTCTTGGATTCACGTGATTCTCTTGCCTCAGCCTTCCAAGTAGGCTACAGGTGCCCCCCACAATGCCTGGCTAGTTTTCAGTTGCAGTTGTTATTGTTGTTTAGCAGGCCTGGCTGGGATTGAACCTGCCAACCTCAGTGTATGAGGCTGGAGCCCTACTCACTGAGCTACAGGTGCTGAGCCTTTCTTTTTCTTTTTTTTTTTTAATTTCAGATTAATATGAGGGTACAGATGATTAGGTTACATTGCTTGTATTTGTCATGTAAAGTCCAAGTTGTGCCCTTCACGCAGAAGGTGTGCCGTCTACCCTTACATTGTGCCTGTTAGGTGAGAGCACACCAATCCCCTCCCTCCTCTCCCCTTCCTCTTTTGCCCTCCTTTCAACTTGAATTAAATTTTTCTCTTATGTGGGTATTTATCTATCTACTGGTTTCATATTAATATTGAGTACATTGGCTACTTGCCTTTCCATTCTTGTGATACTTAGGAAAATGTTCTCCAACTCCATCCAGGTGAACACAAAAGCTGTGAAGCAGTGATTCTCCACCTTCCTAATGCCTGATGTATTTTCATTGTTACAAAGGGGTCGTGAGCCACAGGTTGAGAACCGCTCTGTAAAGTCTCCATCTTTTATGGTTGAATCATACTCCCTGGTGTATGTACACCACAGTTTATTAACCATTCATGGGTTGATAGACTCTGGGCTGTGGCTGTCTTCTCAATATCTGTCTTGTCAAGCCAGGGGATTTTGCAGCTTTGTTCTCCTTCTGCAGCTTTGCTCAGAGGGATGTTCTTAGGCTTATCCCACTTCTATTTGAAGATGAGGAGCTCCAGGCTTGGTCCTCCTAGAGTTGGTTAAATAGATCAGATAATCCCCAGTCACAGGGCCACCTGGTATCCCATGGTCTTGTGTTTGATTTCTGTTGAGTTGCTGAAGCTTCCCAGAGGCAATTATGATGACAACTGTTACTTGCTGAAGTAGGCTGGGCCTTAATCCTTTCTGGGCCATCCTGGGGTCTCTCCTTCTGGGTCTTGCCTGCCACAGCCTCATGGATCACCCAATTTTGCCAAGCACCATTGGATCTGCTAAATCATAAGGCCCCAGTGGCAGCTGTAGTTGCAGCCAGAGAGCATTTCCTTGTCCTTGACCCACTCAAAGCACACTGCCCTCAAGTTCCATGTACCACTCTGGCACCACCAGCAGCACTGACGCTGGGAGCTTCTGTAGCACTGCCACCCACATACCTGCATGCCAACATCACCAAAGCCTACTCCCTACCTGTGCACCAGCATCACCAAAGCCTACTCCCTACCTGTGCACCAGCATCACCAAAGCCTACTCCCCATGGTCCCTACTTCTTTGTGTCAAATCCTGGGTAGGCACACCTGACTGTGTCCAAAACCAAGTCACCTACTTGCTCCTAGCTGCAAGGAGGCCTGGGAAGGCCTGGGAAGTCCTTGCCTCCCACCAAACACAGAAAGAGCTGTATGTGCTCGCCTCCCACCATACAATGCAACACAAAAACAATATCTCAAATGGCTGCTGTGAAGGTTAAGTGACTTAATATCTTATAGTGTAGAGGTTACAGGCACAGAGCCAGTAGCTGACTGCCTGCATTCAAATCCTGGGCTCTGCTACTATCTGTGTGACTTCGAGGAAGTCACTTTCCCTTTCTATCTTATAACTTCCTTATCTGTAAATTGCACAAAATGAGAGTACTTACTTTATAGGGTTGTTGTAAATTTATAGGTTGTTATAAACCTCATAGTAAGGCCAACATATGAAAAGCTTAGAGAAATTCCCAGAAGGCATTTATATGAGGTACGTGCAGTTCATTTCTCTATTTTTCTATATTTTTTTCTAAAAATATGGAACACTTCACAAATTTGCGTGTCATCCTTGCACTGGGGCCATGCAAATCTCTGTATCGTTCCAATTCTAGTGTATGTGCTGCTGAAGCAAGCACTGCAGTTCATTTCATTTTCTTGGTCCCTAAGTGCTTACAACAGAATCAAGGACGTATTAGGTATTTAATAAATTATAGCTGTTGCTTTTACTTTTATTATTGCAGGTTAAGTATCCCTTATCCAAAATGCTTGGGACCAGAAGCGTTTAGATTTTGGATTATTTTGGATTTTGGAATATTTACATACACATAAAGAGTTTATCTTGGGGCTGGGACCCAAGTCTAAACACGAAATTTATTTATGCATTTATGTTTTGTTTACATGGTATTCATACAGGCTGACAGTAATTTTATAGAATATTTTATTTATGGGCGGCACCTGTGGCTCAGTGAATAGGGTGCCGGCCCCAAATACCAAGGGTGGTGAGTTTGAACTCAGCCCCATCCAAAATGCAACAAAAAAATAGCCGGGCAGGCTATTGTGGTGGGCACCTATAGTCCCAACTACTTGGGAGGCTAAGGCAATAGAATTGCCTAAGCCCAAGAGCTGGAGGTTGCTGTGAGCTGTGATGCCACAGCACTTCTACCAAGGGTGACAAAGTAAGACTCTGTCTCTTAAAAAAAAAAAAAGAATATTTTATTTATTTATTTATTTTTAAAATCAGCTTTATTTTAGCAGGCCCAGGCCGGGCTCGAACCCATCAGCCTCGGGGTATGTGGCCAGCACCCTACCCACTAAGCTACAGGCGCCATCTATTTTTATAGAATATTGTGAAATAATTTTGTGACTGGTGGTGCCTATAGCTCACTGGGTAGGGTGCTCACCACATATACTGAGGCTGGCGGGTTCAAACCCGGCCTGGGCCTGCTAAACAGCAATGACAACTGTAACAAAAAAAAAATAGCCAGGCATTGTGGCAGGTGCCTGTAGTCCCAGCTACTTGGTGGGCTGAGACAAGAGAATTGCTTAAGCCCAAGAGTTGGAGGTTGCTGTGAGCTGTTATGCCACAGCACTCTACCAGGGTGACATAAGTGAGACATAAGTAAATAAAGAAATAATTCTGTGGCCGAAACAAAGTTTTTGTTTTGTTTTTTTAAGAGACAGAGTCTCACTTTGTTGCCCTCAGTAGAGTGCTGTGGCGTCACAGCTCACAGCAACCTCCAGCTCTTGGGCTTAGGCGATTCTTTTGCCTCAGCTTCCTGACTAGTTGGGACTACAGGTGCCTGCCACAACACCCGGCTATTTTTTTTGTCGTTGCAGTTTGGCTGGGACAAGGTTTGAAACCGCCATCCTCACTCCCCCCTGAGCCACAGGTGCTGCCCCTGAAACAAAGTTTTGTTTGCATTTGACTGTGATCCCCATCATATGTGGTCAGGTTTAGAATTTTCCGTTTGTGGTTACATGTCTACACTCAAAAATTTCAGATTTTAGAATACTTCAGATTTTGATTTTTGGAGTAGGGATGCTCAACCTGTACCTACTTCTTGCCTACTTGTTCAGGTATTTCTTTTTTTTTCTTTTCTTTTTTGAGGCAGTGTCTCACTCTATTGCCCAGGCCACAGTGCTGTGGCATCATACCTCACAGCACCCTCAAACTCTTGCACTCAAGTGATCCTCCTGCCTCAGATTCCCAAGTAGCTGGGACTACAGAAACCCACCACAATGACCAGGTAGTTTTTTCTATTTTTGTTTGTTTGTTTGTTTGTTTAAGAGAGTCTCAAGCCCTGGGTAGAGTGCCATGGCATCACAGCTCACAGCAATCTCCAACTCCTGGGCTTAAGCGATTCTCTTGCCTCAGCCTCCCAAGTAGCTGGGACTACAGGCATCTGCCACAACACTTGGCTATTTTTTGGTTGTAGTTGTCATTGTTGTTTGGCGGGTCCAGGCTGGTTTCGAACCTGCCAGCTCCAGTGTATGTGTCTGGAGCCCTAGCTGGTGAGTTACAGGCTCACAGTCATCATTTCAATTTTTTTAATCATGCATTTCAAGCTTAATATAAAATGTAACATATAGGCTTGGCACCTATGGCTCAAGCGGCTATTGCGCCAGCCACATACACCTGAGCTGGTAGGTTTGAATCCAGCCCAGACCACCAAACAACAATGACAGTTGTAACCAAAAAATAGCCAGGTATTGTGGTGGATGCCTGTAGTCCCAGCTACTACTTGGGAGGCGGAGGCAGGAGAATCGCTTGAGCACAAGAGTTGGAAGTTGCTGTGGGCTATGATAGCACAGCACTCTACCCAAGGGGACGGCTTGATGTTCTGTCTCAAAAAAAAAAAAATGTATAAAATTGACATATACTGTGATAAACAAACATTGCTCCCTGTGTTGCTTGATCTTGACCAGTAACCACTGTTAGTTACATTTGGTATGCTAAAAGAAGCTTTATCTCTACAAATCCTTTCCTATGAACATATAAATAAATAAATAGATAAATTTAATCCAAATTATAAATATAGTTAACTTTATATAATTTTATTTATTGATTGATTTTTATTTGTTTATTTTTTTGTAGAGACAGAGTCTCACTTTATCACCGTTGGTAGAGTGCCATGACATCACAGCTCACAGCAACGTCCAGCTCTTGAGCTTAGGCAATTCTCTTGCCTCAGCTTCCTCAGTAGGTGGGACTACAGGCACCCGCCACAATGCCTGGCTATATTTTTGTTTCAGTTTGGCCAGGGCCAGGTTTGAACCAGCCACCCTCAGTATATGGAGCTGGCACCCTACCCACTGAGCCACAGGTGCCACCTTATATAGCTTTTTTTTTTTTTTTTTGAGATAGAGCCTCAAGCTGTCACCCTGGGTAGAGTGCCGTGGCATCACAGCTCACAGCAACCTCCAATGCCTGGGCTCAAGTGAGTCTCCTGCCTCAGCCTCCCAAGTAGCTGGGACCACAGGCATCCACCACAACGCCCAGCTAATTTTTGGTTGCAGCCACCATTGTTGTTTGGTGGGCCTGGGCTGGATTCGAACCTGCCACCTTGGGTGTATGTGGCTGGTGCCTTAGCCACTTGAGCCACAGGCGCCGAGCCCACCTTATATAGTTTTAATTAAAATATGATCACATTGCTTTTCTGCTATTCCCCTGATCAGTCTTCCTCCTTGGATGCCCTTCCATACTGGTATATGGAGACCAGATATCATGGTTGTGTGTGTCTCAGTTTGTGGATGTTCTGCAGTGTATTTTACCATTTCCTTATTGTTTTCAGCTTTTCACTATTTTTACAGTGTTGCACTGAAAATCCTATTCATATACTTGTATGTCTATTTCCATAAAGTAGATCACAGAAATGGATTCCATTTAAAATGTTGCTAGGTGTCAATAAATCGCCTTCTAAAAATTGTGTAGTCTTGCCATAGAATGCAAAAATGACCTTTCCACCACACTCTTCCAATCCTAAATAGTACCAACTTTTTTATTATTTTTATTTTATTTGTTTATTTTTTGAGACAGAGTTTCACTATGTCGCCCTCAGTAGAGTGCTGTAACATCACAGCTCACAGCAACCTC